CTGACTTCAACCCTGTGTACAACACAAACATCTCTTACAGCTCGGCCGACAGGACTGAACTGAGAACTGAATATCCTCTTATGAAATTTAATCAGTTTAAATCTTCAGGAAATGAAAACGCACCCGTGGCTACTGTAGCATTTGAAGAATGTCTGATAATTGACGTTTATGTATATATATCGTGAGTCACGGAATGCAAATTCCTGTTCTTGTAAGGATCTTTTCTAAGTAAGACAGTCAATAATTTACAATTTCCACGCAGGATCAAGTCTCCTACCTGTCGTGTTGACCCTGCGAGCTTCTGTAAACACGGAAGCAGGAAGGAAACATTGGCTGTCGCTGATTGGCTGTTGCTGGTGGTCTCCCTAAAGACCTACTTTTCTATTGGTTATTCTGAAACCGAGCAAGAGGTGAAACCGAGACGGTGATTGGTCATCCTGCCGACAGGGGCCATTTTGATTGGTGAAAGCAAATGCCTGTGTGTGTGGGCTGGCCAGCCCCTTCCCGGAAATGTGGGCGCAAGAGTAGGTCAGGGCTTCGCACTACAACAAAAACTACAAAAACGGAAAGTACAACAAACAGGGGTATATACGTACAAATGTTACAACACGACAGAACAGAGGTAACATCAAGCGAATGAAACAAAAAAAAAACCACTGTCCACGGTACAGAGGTTATGTGGTGTTAGGGTTAACATTAAATAGGTTTATATGCCAAAAGATGTTTGTAGACCAACTCACCTCGTCTTATTTTTAAATATTTTTAGTTAATTTGAGTCTAACTTAAATGAGTTAGAAAATTCTTTAAACACATAGGAGTATTTTTAGCTCTACACGTATGTATGGAAAAGTTTGCTAACGTGAGAATGACATTTACCATTATAGGTCTCGGGGCGCTCTTGTGTCAGGGTCTGTGTCCCCCCCCGGCCTTCGCCTCCACTCACTCCCCACGCGGGGTTCTGCTGTTGCCATTGGAGACCGGCTGACCTGCAGTGACCCCCCCGTTTTACCAGCTCAGCTCGGGACAACGTCACTTCCACGGCAACGAGGACAGGAACGTGGTGGTGGTGGTGGGGGGAGTGTTGCTTTGTAAACACAAGTCAGACAGGAGGACAGAGAGATTGTCTCCGCTTTCAGATGAGGGAGTGAGGAGACACACAAGCACACACACTTTCACACACACACTGACTCACATCACACATGCTCACACGCACACACGCACGGACACACTGGGAGACAGGATGTGTCTGATAAAAATGACTCTATTGTGCGAGGGAGAACAGGGACACAGCCCCCAGAGATCCCCAATCCGCCCGGCCCTGGCCCTGCGCCAACTTTCCCAGGCTCCTCCAACAAAGGGGAATTGTCCATGAGGGTACGCCCCCCCCTCGTCCTGACTCCCTCTTTCACTCTCTTAATCGCTCTCTCTGCTCCCAGATTCTCCTTCTCCTCCTGGGACAGGAGGGGGTGCTGGGCTGGGGGAGGGGGCATCACGCCATCGGCTCCGCCGGCGAATGAGTACGGCGATGGCCGCCCCCCACCCCCTCTTCTCTTCACACTGCCGGGGCTGGGGGGCAATCTGGAACCGACAATCGCCCGGCTGCCCCCA